AACTCCCAAGAGTGGCAGAGACCAGGGAGCCACCAGCAGCCTCAGAGCTGGCTTGTGCCTTCTGAGAGGCTCCCTGCTTTTCTTTTGCTTGGGGCCCCACTGGAGCCTCATCACTCCCATGCCTATAGCCTACCCCCACCCTGGTATCTCCCAGCCAGAGACCATTGAGGGCAGAGGTGAGGTACTACTGGTGTTATTGATCACCGTCTCTGAGCACTGGTACAGAGGAGGTATAGACAAGTGGAGGCATCGAGGACAGAGGAATGAATGAGATGAATGCCCCTGGCCTCCTCTCTGAGCTGACATGGAGCCCCTCTGGCCTTCCCTGCTGGCTGGCCCTGTGTCTTGGAGGAGCTGGGCTCCTGCAGGTGGGCAGGCCTAGCGGCAGGGTGCAGCTGGCAAGCAGATACCTGTGGCCTGCGGTGCCTTGGCTCTGGCTTGGTTCTGCGGGGCACAAACAGGTCTGACAAGTTCCTCAGCAGCAGAGACAAGGCTTGGTCCATGATTTCCAGGAAAGTCAAAGTCTTGGAGAGCAAGCGGAGCCAGGCTTGGGGTGGAGGGAGGAGCTCCTCTGCCACATACCTGTCCCCTGTGTTCTGAGCCCAGAGCTCCAGACGGATGGTGGTGCTTCTCTCTCCTGCCTCCCACAGAGGGAACAGGAGCTCAGCAGTGGGGGAAGAGGAGGGGAGACCTTTCACTACGGCCGAGGGGTCGGGGAGTGTGGCCCCTGTGGTTAAGCAGCTACTGTCAAAACCAGGGCTGGCCATCAGCAGGGTCCAACATGCCACCCTCCTTGGCCTCCTTCCTCCTGGCCTCTCAGGGTCTGAATTCTACTCCTCAACCCACAGCCTCCAATCCTTGGCTCCAGGGACCTCCTTCCCCAACCTCAGCCACCCTATTCCAAGATCACACCTTAGACCTGCTCTTCTCTTCCTTAAACGCTTGGTTCTTCTTTCTTTCTTCCCTTTCTTTCCTTTCCTTTCTTCCTTCCTTCCTTCCCTCCCTCTTTTCTTCTTTCTTCCTTCCTCTTTCGTTTTTTCTTTCTTTCTTTCTTTCTTTCTTTCTTTCTTTCTTTCTTTCTTTCTTTCTTTCTTTCTTTCTTTCTTTCTTTCTTTTTTCTTTCTTTCTCTT